TTTCAATAGTTTGTGTATATGTCAGTTATAGTAGTCCGCAATGCTGCTTTTCTAATTCTCATTATGATTAGCATGCAATGTACTACCCGAAGTACTGAATTTACTTCTTCTGTACTCTATATTCTAATGTATCTTCTACCTCTTCTCCCTTACGAACATACTTTCTCATTTTCCATACTTATATAGGAGACTCCCTTCGATAGGCATCTATTTGCCTCTGGAGGATCCGTGAAATAAAAATCAAAAAATCAATCAAAAAAAACTTCAATCATGTACATACTATACATGTATGTGAATGTGCGTGTGGATGTATCTTGAGAGACTAATCAATTTTGTTGATATCCAATAGAAGTTGAATTTATGGAACCTATGCAGCGTGATATTGTCTTCCACATGTACCGTACAGCTAACCTTCAATATAACGTAAATGTTCTTTCAAGAACCGTAAAAGTGTTTTTTTTTTTTACTAAATGTGCATGTACATGTACATGCACCCAATCCACAGGATTGATAGCGCAATGCAGGTCCTGCGAAGCAGTACTCTATACCCTGTGTACGTTATACCATGGTGCTGGTTAATGAACTGCTTCGCTATACTCCATTGGCATTGTGTTGATAAACGGCGCTGATCCGAGATAAGCCTTGGCTGGACGTCACAGTGTTCTATGGTGTTATGCACTTGACACAGCATTATCACAAAGACCAGTATTTCACTAAGCGTTATGTGTGTCTCCCGATCACTAGAAGAAATTTGGCATTGATTATCACAGCCTCTTTTACGGGCAAACACAATCAACATAAATGCAATACAAAACCCAATCATATGAACAGAACTCAATAAGTGAATTTCACTGCGTACACGACGTGTACTTCGATTGTATACACACGATAATACAGTCATGTATGTTGAAACTCTTCTGTTCAGTATTAATCCTTAACGACCCCTTCATTTTGACTGACTAAATCTGTACCTGCCAGGTACGATCAGTCACGTACAATGCAGTTGCCGACGATCTCTGCCTCAGACATGGACACAGCGCTTTGGTTCACTCGGTTACCAGGGAAAACTCTTGCTCAACCGTCAGGCGCCTGCATACTAGTACCTGTGTTGCTGCATAGTCCTGTCAATCGATTTCTGAAATGGCACTTATCGTGCGAGAAATCGAATTACATGACTTTATCACTGCTATCCTACATTGTATATTGCAGCTTTGTTGCAATGTCGAGTGCTCACTACATACATGTATATCATTACGTACATGTATTTCCTAATGGAGCCTGAGTAGGATGTCTAGGACGAGGGCGGGTGCCTTATCTTTAAAAACGCCTCAAATACTGACGTTAAGAATGCGACAATTGACATGTACATGTAGATTGGATGTGGACACATACATACTGTACATGACTGTACATTGGGATTCCTTCAACTGGTTTATGGTTGTAGTCAGCAGCACTGTGCGTCCTCCGTCTTTTAACATGCTGTCCACTTCTGTTTAACATGTGTACACCTCTGCGCCTTTTACACAGACGTAGTACTTTCGTCTGGTGGTATGTCCCATGCTTTAGAAGCAAGAGGTTGCTTGTTCCACCATCGTTTCCATTGTTGTTTTTGGTTTTTTGTCCATTGCCTACGCTGTCTGTCGACCCATGTGAAGAAACAGCTACTGCCTGCCCAGGCAACTAGCCTTTGCCTATCCTCATTGCTCTCTTCTCTCCTAGACTCTAGTGACCGGGACACCTTTTAGGAGATCTCCTACTCCTAGATCACTAACGCGTCTACTTCGAGGAGATGACTTAGATAATCTAGAGCTCGGCATCTGACTGTGATCGGCTAACAGCTACATGTGCCTGCACGCAACACAGCTAGTAGTACTAGCCGATTGGTGGCCGGCAACAGCACAATCATGTAGCGGTGGCAGTCTGAACCTTAAGACCAGTGGTAACTGTTGATGATTTGTCTTGGCGTCATTGTTAGGCATAATACTGCACTGATAACATCCTGTGAGCTTCGCTAGCCTGCAGTGACTTGAAGTAATAGTAATACTAATAGTTGTACCCGACAAACCCTACATAACATTCACTAAGTACTTCGAAGTACAATGCAGTACGAAAGGGGCGTATTACAGTACTGGCCGGGCAGAGAAGATTGTAACTCGGGTTTGGCCAAGATTGTAACTCGGGTTTGGCCAAGATTGTAACTCGGGTTTGGCCAAGCTGTTTAGTCATGTACTGTAGTCAGTCATGTAGTTAGGTACACCATAATGTAAGTTGCTAGATCGATCTCATCATCAGTACTATACAGTAGCCAGCGGATGGAAGGTAAATGTGCCTGTACAAGTGCATGCTGTAAGATGGAAATGTAGTGCCGCATATCACAAGCTGCGTTTGGCATTGTTCTATTGGAGTATTGCTGCCCACGGCCATGACTTGAAGCAAGTTGGTTGGGGCAAACGAACACTTTTGGCAATCCATGTAAGCAAGTATTTTGCCAACAGGGAAATTGAGCTATGTATAGGATCTGTAACTATCGGTCTCAATCGGCACGACCTTGTTTTCTATTTTGCCAATCGCACTGTACTTCCGGTCACATTGTAGTGCAATACTACTACTACTCACTGCTTCCAACAGTATGCGTGAATCATGGCTGCAATCAGCAATACGATTCAGTGATAAATGCATTACTCTCATGATTATACATGTATATGCCTCTAGCTAAGGTATACTAAGTGGATCTCCTGATATGTGGCATATATAGTCGCGTGCTAGTAAGCAGCATAGTGCCAAGACTGCAAGAGTAAATAACCCCCATGGTTAACGCCTTGAGCGGGGGTTATGTACTCTTGATAGTACACATGGTACAAAGCTAGCTAAAGGTTCAGTTGGACGTGCAACCATGCACCACGAAGATGGACCATGGACAATCATAGCATGCTCGATGTTGATGACGCCTGCCAAGGCTGCCATGCCCTGCGCTGAAATGACCATGGAGGAATCCTCATTTGAACAATGGAGTATGTGTGTGTGCGCAGAGTGCCGACTCGACACAGCGCAGGTGTGAGGCCTATCTGTTGCTGCTGGGCGCGTGCTTCATTATTGGACAACAGTTGCTGAGTGTGGCCAATCGAAACACTCAACCTGTGCCACTTTGTTGTCCCACAAATGGACGTGCTGGTAATGCGCTATATTGCACGCTTAGTTCTCGCAACTTAGTTCAAATGCCAACTATAGATCCGAAACGCCACCACGGGGCTCTAATCCATTGGGATTTATTGCCGGTCTGGTTGGGCGATTGACCATTGCGTAGTCCGGGCTGAACGGCTAACTGCAACTTTGTGATGCGCCCCAGGCTTGGGTTAGTCCTGAGCAACTGGGCTTGAAATGTCTGCAGGTAGTGCTGGCAGGCAGGGATGGTGCATTCCACTATCAGCAGAGCTTACCCTAGGCTGTGGAGACCAGAAAACTGCTCCTCGGGCCAATCCCTCCGGTCAGAACATTATGATTATGGATTAGCAACATGGATGCATAATAAACGCAGCGGCATATTTACCACTGATATCCGCTGGGAATGAGCGAAACCGGACACAAATAGATCTCCAATCATCAATCCTGTGTTGATAGGATAAGACAAACACTTGATGGAAGAGATGTTGGAACTACTTGGATGAGGAGCATGAGATACACAATGCATCATGTACCGGTACAGTCATGGTGAACAGCGTTACCGGGCCAATAGTATCCGTACTGTGACAATGTCACTGCAGTTCTATATTTCTAGTGCTGTAAAAAAATCTAGTGCTGTGGTGGATAGTATTGGATTTCGCCATTGCCATTCCTGACCAGAGTTCAACTGAACGCCTTGACACGCTCGTGTAACACCCAGCATGCCTTATGCCACTTGCGGTCCGCTTTTGAGCGCCGTGATGCTTGATACTGTGTCGGTGGTGAAGAAGCAACGGTCAACCAACCAACAACGAAATAAAATACCCTGCCACTGGTACGGATGTAGTTGATTGCAAATGCAATACATCTACAATGGCCTGGCTGCAGTGTAATGCGACGCCCGAGTGGGATAGCATGGCCACTGTTGTCAATGTGAAGGACTTCACAGCGGGAAATCAGTTCTGTTTCAGCGGCTCCACATCAGCAGTATGGCGTTCCTGACATAATCCACACCCAGCTGGCTGACAGGGAGCATGCGAGAATCGTCACAGTTGAAACGACGCCCTTTTCCGAACACTAGTCTTCACTGTAGAGGGATTGACGCCGTGACAGGCAGCTCTTTAAGTTTAGAGGGAGACGGGAGCCTTTATTCTTTGCTGGGACAACATCATTATGTAGTAGTACACATACCCCGTACCTCAGTTACTGCGATACATGCACAATGACACTCCACACAGTCCACAGGGACTACAATGTCATGTTCTATCGATCCCTCATCATCACAGAGAAGGGCCTCTTTTACGGGCAATCCAGAGAAAACCTCATCATCGTCGTCATCATCATTCAGCGCAATAATGCTGTGGTATCGCAGCGTACATGTATTATCTCTGACTGGGAGATACACTCAGTGACTGGGAGATACACTCGGTGACTGGGAGGATTATGTACATGTATTTATGGATGCCTGAGAACGTATTCATCCTGTGGAACGTCTGAGTGTCAACACTCGTGGCAAGGTAAAACATTGACCCATCCACCGTGGCTTACATGTACCGTACATCTTACGTGATCCCGATCAACAGAGCCGGAGCTGAGGCAAGGCAGCAACATTCACAGCCGCACAATTGCTGCACTTGTCTCCTCGCGTGTATGTACTCATTTGAGCCAAGCACCATCGATGATGCAGCATTGGCAAGTTAGTTAGTTGGTTGTCTGTGGCGGTACACGCAGCAGACTTCCACTGCCATGGCACATGCACACCAATCAGCAGCATGCACTAGCAAGGACGTGCAGTCAGTGGCCATACACGTAGCTCGTGTGGAGTACTAGTAGCTGCCTCTCGACCAATACAATACTAGGCAATAGCCTAAAACCGTCCTAGGTAGGTATCCGACACTGTCCGATGTTCCGCCAGGGGTGGAGTGTCTGCTCACTGCAGTCCCATAATTCTAATAAAACCACGGCCACCGCGTGAATTTCATCTTATTCCTATGAACTACCCGATTGTCAGGAGATAGGACAAATAGTTTGCATAGCTTCCCCGACATCAAAGTCTTCCAGCTTCCCCTTGAGGTGTGCCCTGTTGCGGTCCGCTGTTGGTCTATGTGCGCGAGCAAGAGTGACCCTTCCGTCCCGTCGGTGGGTGGCGAAAAGTGTGAATGCCTCCCGCCATGTACCACATTGACCACGCGTCGTCACAGCAGGTAGCTAGTCAGGCCAATACCTGCACAGTGGGGGAGCGTCACCAACAGCATTCTCTAGACCTGCACGTCATGCCGTCGTCTGCCAGTGGTAGTAGTGGTTATCGCTGTGCCGAGCAGTCCCTACTTCACCACAGTGCTGATGGTTATGCGACTGGTCGGCACCAACAGCAACAACTACAGCATCAAAGCTGTTTCCTTACTCCAGGCGACATGACTAACTCTGTGGGACAAGCCACAGGTGTTGGAGATGCTCAAAGCAGCAGACCGTCAGATGGTGCAAGCACCTTGAGCCCAAAGCAAGAACTCACAATGTCGCCCATCAGCCTTGACGACCAGGATTCGTCTAGAACCCAATTGGTCTTATCTGGTTTGGGCGGCGCGGCCGCTGACGAGGGTCCTGGTGATCAGGAAGCGGTTGCAGACAGTACGACTATGACTGGATGCAGCGACGAGGCTAACTCTGATGCAGCGTCGCCAGACCACCCCACCAAACCACAGTTCTCCTACAACGCCATGATCGTAATGGCAATACGCCAATCTCATAACAAGAAGATCAGCCTACGTGGTATCTATGATTTCATCACTGGAAACTTCCCCTACTATCGGCACAAACAAGGATGGAAAAACAGCATTCGACACAACCTATCACTGAATAAATGCTTTGTCAAAGTTCCACGCCAGTATGCTGACCCAGGCAAAGGAAACTACTGGATGGTTGATCCCCATTATGAAAACATGGAGATTGGTAGCACATCAGGCAAATTGTGCCGTAGACCGACCACAAGAAGATCATCTATGCCCTCGTTGGGTTCGGATGGTTCGTTAGAATCACAGAGAGGTAGTTCGACAGTGCCGTATTGTGCCCCCTGGCCAGTGCAGTATAGATCCTCCTGGCCAACTCCGCCGCCGCCCAACAGGACTACCTGCTTCCATCCCTCCACCCCGCTCTCGCCCAGCTCCACCTCCTACCTGGGATCCGATATGTCATCATACCCTACGTCACCGGTACGACAGCATACAGCCATGGTACCTCAGAGCAACAACTACTCCTCATCAGCTTTGCGTGATTATACTGCCAACAGTCAACAGCTACAGCAACGACAACAGCTACCTGTGCAAGTACATCCTGAGCGACAACAGCATCACCACCACCACCACCCACAACAACAACAGCAACAACAATACCACCACCACCAGCCGTCGCCACAGCAACAGGTCCCTACGTCTCAGCAGGCGGCAATTGTTGCTGTACCGGGTCCGGGGCAATGCGGCACATTGGCATCTCCAAGGCTTGGCCAGCCCACGACTGGTTTTGCAAACTATCGAGCTGTGTACTCGACGTTCTTCCCGACCGCCGCTTGCATATCGTACCATGTCGGTACTACGCCTGGATCCTCTGCTCCTCCCGTTTACCCAGTTCTTGCCCAAGTACCAAACCCCAACTCCGCTTGATCTCTGCCTCAGTGAAAGCATTGTGGGCAGAATCACGTTGATCATAGCAAGGATCTCCAATAGCCAGTCGAACACTTGGACGTACATGGACTAATGATAATTATTATGAGTATAACAACGCTCCTTGTGGCTACATACTCAGCCAGTAATTACTTATGTGCTATTCTAAGACAATCACCAAGTAATACAATGACTAATTTCAAATGTCAGAATACAATGGACTCCGATAAACAGTAACTAAGTCTAACATTGTTTCAGTAAGGGCATGCCAGAAGCGTACCCCTTATAACGCTTATGATCTAGGGTCATACTTTTCCTTCCCTATAATCGTTTTTATGTTCTACATTTTCTAAACTAAAGGTACTATTTTAACAACAGGGCCAGGTCCTACAAATTTACCCGCTTGCAATTTTTTGCAGTGTTCCTTTCTAAGCATGCTGTAAGGTTAACACGATTCTATGTACTTGTACTTGTACGATCAGCTCTCTTACTCTAATCAGATACATCTACATGTCAAAACGTGTTGCTTGTGTAATTAATTCGTAGCAGATAAAATTGTCTCTAATTATTGTCAAGATACATCATGTACACATCGCCTATTCTGGGGGATGAATGCCTTCAACTACCATTCGTACATTTATCATCAATACCTCGAATTCACATCGTGCTTTTGATATGATAATGTTGTACAGTGTACATGTAGGTCATAGCCATGATGAGTTCGTGCAGTGTAACCTCCTAGCCAATTTCCATGGGGACACTTCTTCTCTGATGCGGACAAATTCAGAGGCTGTGTAAAGTGAGCGGCTCTGGATTGAGCAGGGTCACTTTGCTGATCATGATTCGAGGGTCATTCCACAACCACTACAGGCGTATCAATGTCATGCCTGGCACACAACTCGCTTCAATAAGGCGTATCCCAAGTGTCTAATTCGATAACCCCCCTGCCATGCTAGGCATGGAGGTGATCACTGGTACCACGTGCCACGGTCAATGGATCAACTCCTCTTGCCCACGGGACTTCTTAGATCATCTTGCAACCTAAATACAGTAAATCAGCCTGCTCTGCAACGGAAACACCTGAAAATTGAGTTCATCACCGGAGTGCTCGCGCGGTGGATCACTTTCCCATTGTTTCCTCGCGTGCTGATTAGGTCAGTTCATCATTAGCATCTCTTGTTAGCATAAGAAATTTCCTCCGACCACTTGTCTAAAACGGGGAGTGCCGGTCAACGCTTGCCAGGACAACAAATTCGTCATAATAATACATGTACATGGAGCTGTCTCAGGCACGTACACATTCATAATTTCTGGACAACACTATAATTATTATTTTATTGTAATTATTTTACTTTTACAATGTACGTGTGCACATGTGGAGGTTGGAGCGATGGATCTGAGTCAGTTGATGATAGGTTACCCATGCGCCTACTTCTGCCTTATGTTTTCACTGAGAGTCTGATATCGCCTAGGGCAGCAGGGGTAAGCGGTGGTGTATGGAAAACACATCAATCCTCTGCTGTAGTTGCGTCTGCAAAATGCAGTCTGATTGTTTGATCATGACCGAGATAATCCCCGAAAGTTCCTAGCAAAAGTCTCACTGAGGGCTCGTGCCTCTTCAAACACACTGTGCCAGTGACACTGTGTATCCACAAATTCACACTTTGACACGAACATTGTTATTCAAATTCTCAAATTAATTGCAATGATACCGGGTTGTGCGCTGATTCCGATCTTTCGGCCTACGCATCCCAAAATTATTGTGAGCAGAAAAGTGGCAGGTGTCGTTCCGCCCAACAGCACCTGGAACCAAGTGAGTGGAAGATAATCTCATACATGTACATGTACAATGTACATCCATCGATACCTACATGTATCAACATAATTATTATAAGAGTCGAGTTCAGTTCATGCCCTGCATTACAGCCAAGACAAGAGTATAACCCCGGGGTTTCATATACTCTTGTTACTACATGTACCAAACTCTAGTCCAGTCACCTCAGTGCCTAATGAATATTGTCTGATATTACTTCGATTCACATCATGTGTACAGTATCCTGTTTAGACTATTTGAAAGATTACTCAAAGGCTTGTTGGGAGATCTCAAAGTGGAATAAATGCCAGCAATCTCTGTTTGCAATCTGTTTGGCCAGTGGGAAAGAAGCACTGGGCACCCGCACGTGCCCTTGTCCACTCCCTGGTGAGATCCTGAACAATGAAAATGTCATCTAGGACATCTACGAGAGAGAGAGAGAGAGAGAGAGAGAGAGAGAGAGAGAGAGAGAGAGAAGGGGGGGGGGGAGCTAGAACATCTACAAATTAACATGTAGTTCTACTAACCCAGTCCCCTGTGGAATCCATCAACTTCATAGTGACCAACCATGTTATACAATACGTTTCTGGATCTTTTCTATGCACATGAAGCTTTGAATGATGGATTTTCTATGCACATGAAGCTTTGAATGATGGAATTTCGTATGAGGTGCATGCTTCTATTTTTAAAGGATGGCCACAAATACAGGAACAACTCTACAAACCACAACTACAGGAACAACTCTACAAACCACAACTACAGGAACAACTCTACAAACCACAAATACAGGAACAACTCTACAAACCACAAATACAGGAACAACTCTACAAACCACAACTACAGGAACAACTCTACAAACCACAAATACAGGAACAACTCTACAAACCACAACTACATTCAATGGTACTACATTGAAGTTTTCCAGAGCATGCATGTACATGTATCTGTTTGTGTGTTTGTTAGTTTGATTCAGTTCCTGCCTTCTTGCGTGATCGCATGGCCAATCTCGCACATGTACATGTAAGAGAAAACAGTTGTATGAAGCAGGCAATCAGCAATATGGTTGGATCCATGGAGAAATAAAAGTGCGTGTGGAAGAGAGAGAGAGAGAGAGAGAGAGAGAGAGAGAGAGAGAGAGAGAGAGAGAGAGAGAGAGAGAGAGAGAGAGAGAGAGAGAGAGAGAGAGAGAGAGAGAGGGGGGGGGGGGTAAATGTAGACCACGAACGTCTCATCCAAGCAAAGGTTGGGATTCGGCCTTTTCGGGGCTCTGGAGTCCGGGTACAAAACGTCCTGGCGTGCCAAAAGAACAGATGTAACCTGTGTCGCTCCCTACTGTTGCATGTAATGTGCCATTGACCACTGACCAGTGCTCGGCCTGGATTTCACTACAGGTCTCTTGCGGCGCTTTGTGCAGGTGCCCCACAGACTGCAGTGCATAATTCGATTACATCAAGTACTCCTGTTCAGGTGCATGCTGCTGTTGGTTAACTGAACACTGCTTCCTTGTACTATTGGCACATGCAAAACAAGGCAATTCACACCTACATGATTGTACTATTGTTGAAGTCAAGTCATACAGTCATGTACTACATATGTACATGCTCTGTAGTTTCCGTGTTCATCGACTTCTCTCTGAAGTTAGCGATGACAATGATTATAATGACACTACATTGCACATCTGCCCGATACTACTAAACTGTACTGTCCGCTAATATCACATCATCTCCTTCACACTTACGAGTACTGTGACTAACTAATAGGGACCTTTAGCACCACGTTGTTTACGACGTAAGCCTGACGTAGGGCCTTGTCCGGGTTCGGGGTCACGTCGCGACGTAGGATGTACGTTCATCAAGCAACGTTTTCGACGTAGAAAAGGCCTTTTGTACGTTGTGACAAGACGTAGGAATTTGCCTTTGAACTTGCACCAAGAGGTCAAGAGTTCAAAAAAAACATCGATGTTTTGATGTTGTAGTTTTTGTTATTCTAGGTACGATCGATCGAGAGGCGTAATTTTATTCTTTGCTATCTTTGTTTTGTGTTTCAGTATGGCTGCCGAGGACACGCAGACTAAGGCTGTGTGCCAGAAATTTTGTTTTGGAGCCAAGGAGGACAGTCATCAATTTGTTGAAAGAAGTAGTGGCAGCGTCGAGCGAAAAGCCCTTCTCTCGTGGCTCGCCGGCCTGGAACACTGTACTCCTGAGTTTGGCAACTATATACCACGCCAAATGGAAGCCGGTAACCATCCGTACACTTCGAGATAGAACTCATTCGATGGTGACTCGGACTAATTTTCGAAGTACAGTACATGTACGAGGTGATTCGTCATTATTTAACACGAAAGTAAAAAAGCCTTCCGTAGGGTTCGAGGTGCGAATCTTTCCATCTCTTCCTCTAAAAATGAAATACTAATGTCCTTAGATTGCTATGGTGCGTTGTTCATTCACATAATCCTTGGTGTTGGGAAGCGGGGGGCAGTTGAAAAATGGCAATTTTTCTGCATATTATTTGTTGTGGTCATTTCTTAACATCATGGTAAAATCGGCCTTAGCACCACAATTTCAAGTCAGTTTTCAATAGAAAGAGACCCTACGTATCCAGGATGGTCCAGAAAGACTGGATCAAGAATATGTTCATCCAAATACAACCCATTCAAGCTTGCATAGCAATAGGTGTATCACCCTGATTTCGTATGCAATTGTGATCAACATCTGTTAGTATTCAGTAATTGCTAATGTTTGGCCAATACCAGGGCCAACACACCGACATTCCTCCTTCCCAGGCGTCGCTTCCAGTTTGTAGCTATCATATATATTCCTCTTCAGCTAAATGTGTTGTCACTGGGGGTTGAAACCAGCGGCTATGACTCTCTTATACTCTATTTTACCGTAAACATCGCGCACATGCAGACTGAAAGCTCTTGCAATGTCACTTCCTGCAGGAATATCAGTCTCAATTTTGGAGGCGAACTTGACAGAACATCGGCAATGGCAATGGCAAAAAGAAATTTGACATGACTTTTGCAGGCGCTGGCAATGAGATATTTTACCGATTTGTTAAGAAATGACTCAATGTTAAAAATTACGAATCACCTCGTAGTTTACAAAAAAAGTCTTTTCATCCACATTTCCCGCGAGGAACTTTGAAATCACGCGCGCCATTCTGCTCTGTTCCTGTGGCAACGACGTCGATCCATAATCACGTCTCGCAAAAGGCTAGCCAAGTATGCAAAACACGTATCGCGCACCCCGATCGACGTGATCAAGTACGTCAAAAGGCCTACGTTGTAACGTGGTGCTAAAGGTCCCTAGTGTTGGGCCAACGAGTGACATGCTAACTACGTTAGTGGTATGTTTCACATGGCAAACAGTTCGGTCTCAGCATGACAAAGCAGCCTAGCACTACATGTCATGATAGCAAACAATAAGAGGACCGAAGAAAGTGTTTTAACTCTGTGTTTCACGCACTAAGTGATCACCAGAAACATGTAGCAAACATGGGGATTGTGTAAGACTGCAAGACTGGCCGGGATTGAGTTGTGGCTGCAACATCTCAAGACTCAGTGGAACCACCGGCCAATGTGAAGAGAATGGGTGATAGGCTGATCTCCAACAGTCCACCGCCTCCCTCCAAGGGTCCCTCAACAGTCTTGAGGAGTGGGGCCGCAAGTGGCGTATCTGTTTTGAGCCAGCCAAGACACAGCGCATGACTCTACATCGCAAGCACGTTCCCCCCTGCACTCCACCAGTCACCTTTGGAGGTGAAGTACTCCAGGAGACAGATACCCTGAAGCTGCTGGGAGTCATGCTCGACCCTACTCTCTCCTACAGAGCGCACACTCGCAGTGTTGCACTGCGCGCCTCC